GTTTCCCTTGCACACCATTATAAAATAGACACTTGAGGGGGAGAGATAGGTATAGCCAGATATATCACCATAGAAATCTTGTCAGTCTGTCTTCTGCCTATAACTGATTGGAATGCCTAAAATGGGGCTACAGCTTGCCTAGTTAAGGCTTCCTGCAGATCCTCTGCATTACATAAAACCATAGGTGGAATCCGAATAATAATAATAATAATAATGATACCTGTTAATGATGGATAATGATGTATAGATTTGTAATCAGTTCATATGAAAAACTGGGTAGAGTCATGAGAAGATTTATAAATATGAATATAATGATATGTTTAGATGAAACAAGGCTTCCTTTATAGGCTTCATTTTCATTGATTATGAAAAACTTATTATAAAAATAGGTATTGTATGCAATGACAGTCTTCAAAACTACCTGCCATATTATAAAGAGTAATAAATTATTTTTCAGAGTTTTGGTGTGGTGCTGTGGGTTAATGCACTAGACTGCAAAGTCAGTTTGAACCGCAATGTCGGTAGTTTAAGCTCACCAGCCACTCCTTGGAAACACTATACAGGTTCGCTATGGGTTGGAACTGACTTAATACCACTTAACAACAATAGCAACAAATAAATTATTTTATTATTCTTTAAAGGGATACTGCATAAGTGTATATAGTAGAAATGTTGGTTTCTATAACACAAGGTGATAACAATACCAAATATCTCATAATCAACTGGTATTGCATATATATCATGGAAGATACATATATTCCATTTTCATAAGTCATTTTAATTAACTTAATTTTACGAGCATGTGACTAAAGTTATGGGCATTTGCCTTTGACTAAGCAGTTATTTGTTGCTATTATTGTTTTCTTGCTCAAAATAAATTCATTCCCTTTTTCACCTGCACAACATTTTCTTTGGAGTCCTGGAGTGGCACTGTAGGATAAGCACTGGACTCCTAACCACAAGAAGATCAGTGGTTCAAACTCAACAGAGTCCCTATAAGTTGGAATTGACTTGATGGCACTTAACAGTGACAACAACACTTTCTTTTGGCAGTGCACCAAAATGGGCAGAGAAATCTGATGAAAGGATTTTGCAATGGACTTTTCTGATAAATTTCTGGTAGAGATAGTTGTTTGTGTGCGTGTGTGTGTGCGTCTAAGTATGTGTTTAGGTTTCCACTTAAAGTTCAATGCCAAAACTACACTACTTATACATTTTCTAAATGTGTTTTAAGCAATAAGTTGTACAACATTTTTAGAACATGTGTTAAGCTATTTCTCTAAGAATGAAGCTCTTAACAAAACATAAGCACTCTGCATGAGATCTTAGCAGCAAAGTGCTTAAAAGATAAAGTAAGAATTGGTACCATGGGAAGAACACCAGCTGTAGCGCGCACAGGTCCATTATGAGAAGTATGGTAGTGGGTAGGGAGAAAATGATTTAATCAGGAGTAAAACCAATTTTATTATAAGGGCACGCAGGGGGTGTGGCACCATAGTGAGAGGGACATTTCAAAATATCTGACAGATTTCAACAATGTGAAAACCCCGTTCTTTAAAGTGACAGTAAACCCCATCAGGTCTCCCTTTTTGATGCTATTGTTAACAGTTGACTGTTTAAAGCTGGCCTGCTAAGATGCTGTCGGCCTATTTCAATAGTGGGTAGCCAAATAAAAGACTAATTGTTGAAATACAATCAATCAAAAATGATTGCAAGGCAGAAAGAAGGTTCCCTCTGCTGATTTTGTTGTGGATCATATTATTGTGTAGTGTGACTGAGGTAGGAGTAAAGGCTGAAGGGGGGATTGTGGGGGATAAAATCACCAATCTGAAATAAACAGCTCCACCTTCGTTCCTTTCCTTGCAAACATTCTATTGAGCAAGAATGGTCACTTACTAGCCCTGGTAATAATATTCCATTCAGAGAACAGGGCCTCATAAAGATTTCAGCTAAGGTTTCTCAAAGAACATGAGCAGTACTGGTGAAACAATCCATGCAGAGAGCCCTTTCAGTGACAATTTTTAGCTGTTTTTTTTTATGTTTGGGGTACAAAATTCATAAAACTGACACCAAGAGGATGTGTGAACAGGAGCCCAAGACAATGGTAAAAGAAGAGAGCTGTACTTTACCAAATACCTGTTATATTCTTGCCAAGATACTCAGCTTTTCAGTTAACTCCCAGATTGTCTGAAATGATTATCTTAGTTTTCATTAAGCACAGAATGGAAAATCTCTTCTATGTCACATGTTTAGAAATACAAATCCTATGGATCAACAGCAATGCCTTTGTGCCTTGCTTCCTTTTAATTGTGTTTGAGGGATGTCGCTTTCAGACCCTGATACATCGACTTCTTAAGGGAGAATGATTCCAGAATCTCATATGGAGAGTGAAAAGCAGAAAATAATTGCCTAGTACTACTTTATTTCTACTAAAAACTTCATTTTGGCATTGACTTTCTTTAATATTTAAATGTCTTAACTCACTCAAGCTTCTTAAGCAAACATTTCTGTTGTTTCTAGAAGGAATTGGTGAGCACTTGTAGTTTGTCTTCACTGTGTTATCATTTTTGACAGCTTTGCATAGCCTATGTAGGCCAACAGGGGTCTGTCTAATATTGTTGCTGGGCAAATTTTCCACACTGAGATGAAAACTAAAAAAAAAAAAAAGATATTTTTGAAGCAGTACGAAGGAATTAATATCCCTTTCTCACTCAGTATTCTATTCCTTGCTGACTTTATATTCAGGCAAAAAAAGGAAAAAAGTGTTACCCATTATTCCCTTGTACATAGCAAGGCTAACACATGTAAAGCAATAACTCATTTTCTATTGCCATGTTTAGCATATGTCTCCTGTTGGCTCAGCAAGGCCTTTAGGCCGGTCCCTTGAGCCGGCCATCATTGGCAACTCTTAGCCCCTCGGCCTCAAAACCAAATAGCTTTGAATCATGTTGAGCTGTGGTGCTAATTTTCATACTGATGCATTATGGGAATAAATGTATCTGACATACTGTGTCAATGGCACTGTCTCTTTGTGTCTCTTGTTTTTTGTTAGCTGCATTCCTACAGATGGTATTCCATTGAAAATGTTCCCTTCCTACGGAAAAAGGAGGGAAAAAAAACAAAAAACAAAAAACGTGCACAGCACCAAACCTCTAGGTGCAGAAGGCTGTTAACGGTTGCTGATGATAGTAGGCAAACATTAACATAATAATTAGTGTCTTGTAATTGTTTCATTAAAACCAGTTGTTCCATTTCTCCTCGTGTTTTCCCAGAAGAGAAGCTGAATTTGGACGACAGCCAGTGGGAGGACATCCACGTTGTCACCGGAGCACTGAAGATGTTTTTCCGGGAGCTGCCTGAGCCGCTCTTTCCTTACAGCTTCTTTGAGCAGTTTGTGGAGGCGATCAGTAAGTACCTCACATTCAGGAGCAGTTGGTGGAATAACCTGGCACTGTGGAATGATTAAGTAAATAGTAACAATGATGATGATAATAATAATAATAGGAAACAGACTTTCTCCTCAGTGCTCCCTATCTGTAGTTTTAGTGTCTGTGTTCTTGATGGCTTATTTTTTTTTCAGACTGCAATATTATCTAAGGTTGCTTGGTTTTCATAAATTAGGCAACAAAGAAGGTGGCATCCTATGCAAGGGGGGCAATTTGGAATAAACTTCTTCTCCAATGAAAATAGCTCTCCATGGAATCTGTTTTAATGATGTTACCTTTTGCACCCCTACTCACTGACTTTATACTTTCAGAATGGCAATGGCCTTTATACTTTATAATGAATTAAAATGGATCTTGCAAAGGAACATTTGTTGTTGTTAAGTGCCGTCAAGTTGGTTCTGACCCATAGTGACCCTGTATAGGGTTTCCAAGGAGCAGCTGGTGAGCTTGAACCACCAATCTTGCAGTTCAAACGATTTTGCAGTCTGACGCATTAGCCCACAGGAACATAGGTGAGCTCAAAATCACATATCATTAATGATGTGCTTTAATCAACTGAGGTATTACATCTCTAGGCTCATTCACCCTTTATTCACCAACACTAGTAAATGCTCAGCAATAATTTGCTTATGAGGGATGTAAATACTAAACAGAAATGAATGAAAAGATTCCACTGCCAAACTGGTGACTCTGCAGAACATTGGATTATACCCTCTACTAAACAAATAATCATACTCCATGAGACTCCCATTCCTGCCATTTCCTTACTCAGAAAACAGTCAATATTTAAGTGAAATAAACAAATTAATAAGTGAAAAATAATCTTACCAAAATTCAAGGAAACTTCTGCTGTTGATTCTTGGAGAAATAGCTACTATCACATCTCTAGATGCAATATCTGAGGATACACTTACTAGGATTCTACAGCTTGGGACAAGTTTCCTGGCAAGCATGTTGATTTAAGAGAGAAAGAAAGAAAATATAAAGAAAGGTTTAAATTTTTTAAAAAAGCACTTACAAGCCTAACAGGAACTTAATTAAAGTCCAGTCAAGAAAAATATCCAAGAAAGAAATGCTCTATGTTGGAGACCTGAACTTTGATAACTATGCATGCCCTGCTCCCATCAGTGGGATTAGACGTGCCAGTGCAGTGGAATGGCCCCTCAACATAAACTTCTTCTGTTTTATATTTCACAAAAGTCACTTCACTATCCAAAGCTTTGACAAAGAGATGTCAAGGGGAACAAAGCAGAGTTAATTCTCCTAGGTCTTTCTCTTGTTGCCTGCTTCCAATTTCAAAATGTTGTTGTTATTTAATGTAGTAACAGTGCTTGAAGGGAAGCTGGAGCTCTTGTTCCTTATCATGACTTTTCATTTCATGAGCCCTGAGCTTCTTAGGATGAGCAACATTTTATAGTTCCCAGGCCCTTTTAATTTACTGTAAATGGAGGAATGAAGAAAAATAAACAAGTGTGCATTTCCACAATAGCTATTTTGATATATCTCAGAAAATGCAAGATTCGAGGGTCACTCAGGCTGCTAGGACTGTATAAATGGGGCAAAGGGACTTGCATTTGGCCCCTATTCTTGATTGTGTAAGTTTAAAGAACTCATACAATTTTCACATCATGGCCTACCCACTTTTAAGTGAGAATTATCAGTCTTATCATAAAATGTACTTGTATTGATGTGTCGATTTAAGGACTATAATATGACTATAATAAGGAGCCTCACTAGCGTGGTGGGTTATTAAACTGGGCTGCTAATCGCAAGGTGAACAGTTCGAATCCATCAGGCACTCTATGGGAATAAGATGAGGCTGTTTGCTCCCATAAAGATTCACAGCCTCGGAAACCCTATACCAGGTCGTTATGAGTTGGAAACGACTTGGTGGAACATAACCAAGCAATATGGAAGCATAAAGATTTATAGTCTCAGAAACTCTAAGACATAATTCTATTCGGCCCTATAGTATTGCTAAATTGGGAATGAGTCAATGGCAATGGGTTTAGTTTTAATTTTTCAGATGCTAAAGATTTTAGGTATGTACTGTATCACAGGAGCTCTGGTAGCGTAGTGGTTACGAATTGGACTGAAAGCCACAAGGTCAGCAGTTCGAAACTACCAGATATTCTATGGGAGAAAGATGAGGCATTCTCCCGTAAAGATTTACAGCCTTGGAAACCCTGTATAGGGTCGCTATGAGTTGGAACCGACTCCACGGCACATAACAACAACTGTATCACTGTAAAGATGTGGAAAGCAGGCCCTCATTACCCACTTGAGATATGTCCTTTCAATTTTCCTAAAAAGTCAGACCATTTCCTGGCTATTCTTGACTCAAGCCCAAACTTGACAGAATTTGAGAAACACAAACATGGCCCAAAGGACAGTCAAAGCAGGGAGCATACTACTATGACTGACATCTATGTCACTTTGGGGCAACGTTGGTGAAATGGACTATGGTGAAAATAATGCCATATTGCTTAAGAAGCCCTATAAAAATGGAAGATGCTGCATAAATGCTGGCAGTGCTTTTCCAGGTAAGCTTTGGTTGAGAAAGTAGTGTAGAAGAGAAGATAGAGGAGAGTGTTGTTCATCCTTGTTCAAAGCAAAGAGAATCAAATCAGCAAACTTGCCTCAGGACCGTAAACTGTTATTTCTATTTTTTTTTAAATAATACACTTCATTTTTAGAGCAGTTGTTGTTTGTGTTATGTGCTGTCAAGTTGGTGTCAACTCATAGCAACTGTGTATATGGTTCCCGAGGAGTAGCTGGTAGGTTTGAAGTGCTGGCCTTGTGGTTATCCAACAATGCCACACAGGACATTGGACAGAGATGTTTACCAACCCTTGGCTTTAGAGCATAACATTGAAGTTAGTTTTTATGTTCTAAATTCAGAAGAAAGTTAATTGCAGTTTGTAGTTCATATTTAAATGTCCTTGATGGTAGAGAGAATGGTCATCTAGTTCCTTGGCAATAGAACAAAAAGAAATAGCAATTATTTTACTCTTTTGCACACAAATTGGATTTTGTTTTTTTCAAAATTTTAAGAACATTCATGTTTTGTACTAAAGATGTACTGGGATTTATCATACCTTTCATCCCAGAGGCACCTCTGAAGACAGGCTTGGTATGTCTACTTCCAAAAGATCACAGCTCTTGAAAACCCCCATGGACCATGGTTCTAATCTGACTGATGGGGTTGCCATGAGTCAAAATCGACTAACTGGCAATCGGTTATTTTTATATAGCTTCTTGAGGAGCCTGACATACCATTCATGAGTTCTTGGTTTTATAGTAAAATATACCGACCAGGATACAGTCAATTCGCAGAAGATTGCCACGTATGCTGGACCTAGACTTCTTTGTCCTCAGAACCTTGTCCTTCCCTTCTTTTCTGTGGAGGCATAGAAAGGCTAACTCTAGCCTGCTGTGTTGTGCAGGAACCCTGAGGGCTGGCTTCCTGCTGCTGTAGCCAGTTGAAACTGTTAGCAAGATTGTTGTTGTTATTATGTGCTGTCAAGTTGGTTCTGACTCATAGCAACCCTGTATAGGGTTTCTGAGGAGTGACTGGTGAGCTTCCGGTTCAAACCAATTTTGCAGTCCAATGCACTAACCTGCAGTACCACACCAGAACAGTTTATCTCCTGCTCCTGTCTACTTATTGCCTCCAGCAGTTTCTTTGCCTGATGATCAACCTTCTCCATGTAGTCAGTCTTCTGGACAGGCCTAATGTAGTTCCAGATTCCATCTGGTGACAGGGACCCTCTTCCTTTTGCCTCTTCAGTCCTAAGGAGGTAGTGGCTTCCTCCTGTGGCTAATACCTTGGTTACCTCTCTCTTCAGCTTTTTCATCACTTTGGTAACTAGTTCCCTGCATCAAATTAATTAAATACTTGAAGAAGTTACATTTTTTTTGGTTAGACGTGAGCAAAACACCATACAAGACAATGTCATGGTTCATGTGGTGTGAAAGTTATTTCTCTTTTAGTACCCCCAAGCTCAGTCTGTGGAAGTGTAACATTTTTATTTGGCCCCAAATTGAAACATCTTTTACATTTTCATGACAGAGTTAAAAGGTGAACAAACTTAAAGAACTATTATGCCCAACTGGAATGCTCTGCCTCTGAGAAGGAAATGTTATTTCACATACAAGCAATTAATAACCACTTGTGCTGTTTGAATTTCTGTAAATTCTCATTATGTGTTTAAAAGTCATCATTAACTATTCCACAAAGAATGAACAGAAGGCATTTACTTTTTAAAATAGTTTTTTTTTTTGGACCAAAAACAAACATTAATATTATAAGAACCTGCCATTGCTATAGTGATTCCCTGTCTGATAACACTCATTGGGGTAACAAAAACACTGGAGATGGTTTTATATTTCAGAATCCAAGTACTACAGCTATTGATCTGAAATTCCATACTTGAGGTCAAGGCAATTGGGTCACCTGCAGGTTATTTCCTGTGGATTTAACCCACTGACTGCAAGGACTTAATTCCCTGGAAATGACTTGTACTGAAGCCATTATTAGTACTGTGAATGTGAACTCAGTAGAAAAACAGCTATAGAGTTTTATGATAGGTGATGCAATCTTGTGGCTGGAGGCCTGCAGGGGGTCTGGGTATTTCCAGGACATCTAAATCCTTGAAAATGTACTAAGTTTACCTCATTTTCCCATCCTTTTCATTCTGGCAACTCTTCAGGTTCCAAGAAAAGAGACAAAAGAGCAGTGCCTCTTCTGTTACAGTATCAGCAATTCCCCAACATTCCCAGGAAAGAGAAAAAGAGGAGAAAATCCATCAACATTTCTGGCAATAATCTCATTTAATCCTCAAAATAATAAAGTAGGAGAAGCAGAAAGATCATGTGGAAAATAAGTTCTAGTTCACATGACTACTATGAGAATTATGCAAGATAAAGTTTTCCTTGCATTATATTAGGTGCTCAATAAA